GGGGTGGCTCTGCACTACCTCATCAGCACTCCTCACATTTATGTTGAGCCTGAGGCCTTTCTCAGTCCTCAGAGACTCTGCTTTCATAAAGTTATCCCAACGTCCTCCCTAAAGAGCTCTTGGCATTGAGGGCTCTGGTGGGAGGGGACAGCTGAGGATGTGGCCTCACATCCATTACCATGTTGGCTACTCACATCCAATAGCAGGCAGGACCTGATGTGACTCCCATCTTACAGATGAGGAAACTGAGGCCTAGCAAGGTGAGGACACGTCTAAGGTTGCTGAGCCTAGGATCAAGGGCTCAAAACACTCAGAAAAGGACTCTTTTAATTATTCTCTAATTAATTGCCCATCCTAAATATCTTTCAAGGAAAAAGGCAGGCGCATACATTCACAAACCAACCACCCTGACCAGAGCCAGGAAGTTGCATTCATTCAGAAGCTGGGAAGAGGGCGACAGTAATAATTTCCCCCTTGGCGCATGCAGGAATGAGTCACGCTGGATGAGAACAATTGACTGTTCTGTAATCACCTTGAGCGGCTCCTGCTCAAGGCTCCTGTTCAACACCCGGCAGGGCCCCAGAAGAGCCTTTCCAGGTATAATGAGGCTGGGCAGGAGGAGATGGATGGGAGTACACAGGGTCCCACCAGGGCAGCTTGGCTCACAATCTGTTTTAGCCCTGAGCCCCAGGCAGCCAGGACTCCACAGAAGCACCAGGTCCCCCAAAGTTCAAGGGCAGGAAGTCATTTGCACCCAGATGGGAGGAAGAAAGGCCGTGGCCTGGCCTGCAGACTGTTGGAGCCCTGGCCTCAGGACACATAGACACTAGCCTCCCTAGGACCCTCCTAGGCCCTCCCAGGGCCCTGATTTCCCCGTCCTTTGAGGAGCAGTGACCAGGCAGGCAGCTGGGGGTGAAGAAGGGGGAACAGGAAGGTGGAACTCTCAGCAGGCCCACAGACAATGTCTGCAATCAGACCATAACAACCTCAGTGAGCCCCTCTCCCCCAGCCAATATACACGCACACACCTCCTTGCTCCTACTTTCCCTCATTTCCCCCAGAAGGGTGTGTTTCCTGACTTGGTCCATGGAGTCCACATAACAGACCATCTTAGAAATCAGTTGGTTCATCTCCTCCTGCACACTCACCATTTACAGATGAAGGAACTGGGACACTGAGAGGGGAAGCCCCCTGCCCTAACTCATAGAATAGCTCTGGTAGCTAAGCTGGGACTGGGGTCAGGAGGCCCCACCAGCAGTCTGCTGTGGTCTGTTCACTTCAGCTTCAGTCACCTGATCACTTTGCTATGTGAGATCTTTAATCCGAAACAACTATTCTCTCCTACCCAAACCCAAAACCTAGGGCACACCATTTTTCTATGAAGTTACGGACAAGGCTCACATCAATAAAGGTAAATTAGAAAGGAAACCTGCAGGAGGAACAGACTTCTTTCTCTTTCAAAGAGGCCCCTGGAGGTCATTTTCACCCAGTTTTATCTGCACTGGGGAGGAGGAAGAAGGAGCTGAACAGTTTCCTTCTATAGACCACAAAAGACATTGTCACTGGGCCAACCACATTCCTATATCATGACAAATGCTTCCTTGTACTTCAGTGGATCTCCACCTTGGCAGCACATTGGCCTCAACCAGACCACAGCTAGACTAAATACATCAGCATCTCTGGGAGGGGGGCACAGGCATCAGTGTTTGTAAAGCTCCCCAAGTGTTTCCAAAGGGCAGCCCAAGTTGAGCACCATCCCCTTCCTATTGGAAGTGAGGCCACTGACCAGCAGCGCTGGCATCACCCGGGAGCTTGTTAGAGATGTGGAACCTCAGGCCCTTCCCCAGATCTACTGGATCAGAATCTGCACTTTAACAAGTGATTCCCAAGTTCCCTGAAGTCTGAGGAGTGCTGAGGCCAGGCACTGTACACATGCCATCTCCACACCTGACAACAACTTTGCAAGGCGGCTGTTCCATTCCACAGTGAGGAAACTGATCCTGAGGGAGGTTAGCTCGCTAGCCCGAGGTCACGCAGCGAGTCAGCAGGACACCAGGACGTGACCCCGATCTGGTTCCAAAGGCCACACTTTCTACTGCACAATAAAAAATACGGCCACAGGGGACCTCTGAGTGTTGGGTCCTCAGACCCACTGGGCACACCCCACCTTTGAACAGGATTCCACTTCCAGTGTCAAATTCCGTAGAATCAAACCTCATAAAGACCAGCATAATTCATGAGGAAATACAAATAGTAAACAAACACGTGGGGAAAAGGTTCACTCTCCCTAGTAATCAGAGAAATGCAAATTAGAGCAAAATGGAGGAGCCATTTTCTACCTATATAATTAGCAAGAATTAAAAAAAAAGAATATTAGCAAAGTTGTTTTGAAATAGGTACATTCATACACGGCTGGTAGCGGTATATAGAGTTATATAACCCTTGAGGAAAGTAATATGGCAACATCCATCAGGAGGTGTAAATACATTATGCCCACTGACCCTGGGAATCCACCCTAAGGAAGCTATTCAATGGGAGAGGAAAGGCTGTTTGTGGGAAGACGCTCATTGCGACATTTGCTGTGAACGTTGGAGACAACTCAATATTTAGCAGGGAGAGAATGGCTGAGTAAACCGGGGTACATGAGCTCCTGAAGTGTCATGCAGCCATTTAAAATGATAATTAAGCAGCCCAAGCAGTAGATGTGGGTGAAAGAAAGCAGAATGCAGAACTGTCTGTGTGCACGGTGGTCACCTGTTATAAAAATACTGTGTGCATGAGGACATGGACAGGGAGGAGCCGGGCTCAGAGAGGACAACTGGTGTTTCAGGGTGAGGGGACAATGGAGAGACCTCCTCCTTCTATTACTTTTACAGTCACAAACCCCAGCAGAACTGGCCCTTTGAGAACAGCCTTGGGGGCTCTCTAGTCGGGGAATCTATCTCTGAGGGGGACGCAGAGACACTTCCTATTCTTCATCCCTGGGCACAAGGCCACACTCTTCAATTCCACCCAGAGGTGGGAGGAGCTGGCCTCTCCTCTCCTGTGTGGGGGTGGGGGGCAGAGAGGCCATGGGAGACCCCTCCCGTCTTACCATGAAGCCTGGGGCACAAGCGCAGCTCCCAGTGATGCTGTGGCAGTCGGCGCCGTTCTGACAGGTGCAGGGCAGCTGGCAGCCATCGCCATAGTAGCCAGCAGGGCAGGACTCATTGCAGTGATGGCCAGACCAGCCCGGTTGGCAGGTGCAAGCTCCAGTCACTGGGTGGCAGCTGAAAGATGAGAGAACGATGAGAAGACAGTCTAGTCAGGGAGGTGGCCATGTCCCACCCTCTGCCCACCCTGAGTCTGGTCTGCCCAGGGTAGCACAATCAAAGGGCCTCTGAGCTTAAGCTGCTCAATGCCTTGTTTGTTTGTCAGAAGACACAAAGGCCACATGTCTTATTAGCCCCAAGAAACTGAAGCTCATGGTGGTTATATGACTTGCCTAAAGTCGCACAGCAAGGAAGTGGCAAAGTCAGGACCAGAACACAGGTTTCCTGACTCCAAAACAAGTGCTCTTTATAACACAAATATACAGAGACACAAGCGGAAGGCAGCCTCTTCAGTCCCATGCCTTGCGAACAATGGGATCAAGAGCTTCACTCACCCCTCACCCAAGGCAGATGCCAGGGTGGGAGCGGGCGCAGTGAGCCCCAGTGGCTCTGCATATCATAGGTGCCAGTGCACATTTGCTGAGTTAAAATGAGACCTCAGGGCAGGCGTGGCCTCCCCTCTCTGGCAATGTTGCATTGGAGAGGATCCCCTCCATCTGTGCTTTGCCAGGGCTCTTTAAGAGGGAGCAAGCTCGTCTCCATCTCCTGTCTGTCTAGGCCAGAGAAAGGACCACTTGGCTGGAGGCAGGGCTGCCTGGCACGACCTCTAGAGACTGGGCAATCTCTGGCTGGCAAGGTCTGATCCAACAGCCAATAATTCATGATCGGGGGGATGACAGGTGTGGTGACAATGTACTTCTCAAGAGCTTCTGCGGAAGTGAACTTGACTGATGGCCCCAGCTGCTATGTCTGAAATCCATCACTACATTTGCTCAGAGGCCACACTTCCCTTGGGCTGCTCCCAGCTAGAGCACAGCAGGCCTATTAAGGTGGGCACATTCCTGGGGGATCTGGGACTCCTCTGACGGGTGGCTTTGGCTTAAAGACTCTCCTTCTTGCCAAACTTTCTTAGACTTGTGCTGCAGTCTAAGACTTTCCACCCAGCCTTCCTTCCCTCTCTCCTTCCCCCAAGGCAGACCTGCATTGTGATCTGATGCTCTCCCAGCCTCCCCAGCACCCTCCCCATTTCCCCCTCACAGTTGTTTCCCCCGTAAATCTCTTGCACTTGGCGTCTGCTTCTGGGAGGACCCAGACTAACATTCTAGAGAAGACGCTGAATGGTAAAGACAAGGCTCTTAGATTCCCCATGTCACTTGCTTCCCTGCTCCAGAGTTTAGCTCACGGGATATGTCGAAAGAAGCCTGCTCTGGGTTGGTAGGAGGATGCTGGGTACAAGTCTTTTTTTTTTTTTTTTTTTTTTGAGGAAGATTGGCCCTGAGCTAACATCCATGCCCATCTTCCTCCACTTTATATGTGGGACACCTGCCACAGCATGGCTTGACAAGCAGTGTGTAGGTCCGCACCCAGGATCCAAACCAGTGAACCCAGGCCACCAAAGCAGAATGTGCAAACTTAACCGCTGTGCCACCGGGCTGGCTCCTGGGTACAAGTCTTGGTTCTGAAGTTCCACAAAGATGTGTGCCTTGTCTCCCTGGGTCATTGCTGGATCCCCAGTGCCTGGCTCATATTCACTGCCCAATTTAATATTGGGGAATAAATAGTACTTTCACTATGTGTAATTACTTTCTGCGTCTGCTGACTTGTTTCTCATCTGTCTCCCCAGCCAGGTGGCAGCTCCACGGGGGCAGGCACTTTGTCTGTCTGATTAACCTCTGTATTGTACCCCAGGGCCCAGCAGAGTCCCTGACACACTGGAGGTGCTCAGCACATCTTTGGCGAATGAATTAATGAACAAACTGATTGTATGAAGCCCAGCCAAGCCCTGGATTTTCTCATGGAAAACGAGGGATGGACAGGAGCAGACAGTTCCTGAATAGTAAGAGCAAGTAGCTAATAATCATTTTGGACCATGTTTAGTCTCATTAATCATGAAGTCTAAATAACAACTGGATATCACTTTTTCTCTATCAAAACAGTAAAGATTTAGAAAAAAATAAAAGGACAATATTCAATGCTGGTAAAGGTTTTTGGAAAACAATTCGGGGTTATGTATCAGGAGTCCTAAAAATATTCAGACCCTTGGGTCTTGTAATTCCATTTCTAAGAATCTATCCTAAGGAAATAATCAGAGTTGTGGAGAAAGATTTATGCAGAGATGTTCCCTGAAGTATTATTTATAACAGTGGAAAATGGAAGCAATTTAAATAATAATAAATAATATGTCACTGGGCTATTAAAGCACTAGGTACTTTGCACATATACTTCTAATTTTCAAATAAGCCCGTGACTTAGGCACTACAGCCTCTATTCTACAGATGGCACTTGGAGGTTATGTGACCTGCCCAAGGTCACACAGCTCCGTCAGCAGCGGCTGGGATTCAAAGCCAGGCCCAGCTGCCCATGTTCTGCCCACGGCCAATTGCCGCCTCCGACAACAGGGTACTTGGTAAACGAATTGTGGCAATTAATACGAAGGAATGTTAGGGAAATACTGAAATATTTTCCAAATTATTTAATGATATAGCATTAAGTGAAATAAGCGTATAGAAAGTCATGATCTAAAATATGAAAAAAAGTCATGGAGATATACACAGATATGGATGGAGAATGAACAAATTACAAGAAAATGATTTTTTGAGCGATTCTGTTTTTTCTTTAAATTTCCACATATTCTCTAACTTTCCCAAACTAAGCATCTATTATATCTATAAACATAAGTAAAGCAATAAAAATTGTAAATATGTAAAAAGAAAAGAATGAGTGTAAGGGATGAGTGTTTGAAGACTTCCTGACCTTTATGGTTCCAGAAAAATTCTTCCCTGAGTCCCACACTGTAAGGGGATAGATACAGTGGCCTACATGGGTGCCTTGAAGGTGGGTGGCCCCACTTGGTGCCCTGACCCTCAGCCAGAAGGCATGGGGCACTACTCTCTGTCTCAACACTCTGAGCAAAGCCGTTAGGCACGGCGTTCCTCAGTCCCAACCTCCCAGGGGCCTCCTCTGAGGATGTGGTTCAGGGTTAGCAGGCCCGCTCAGTCACAGACATGGAGATGGACAAGGCGGGACCCAGGGAATGACCAGGCGTGTTGGCTGCAGCTCTGCCTAGCCCCAGGGGTTCTACAGGGTCTCAGGCACCCTTCGGCCTTTCCTATCAACAGCTTCTCCCTTTACAGGTCCTCGCTCTGGCGGGAACACCACCCTGCAAAAAGCATACGGGACACACAGTGAGCCAGCAAATGCTTTCTTGTAAGCACTCCTGCATTTCCTACTTTCCATCAAAACCCCTTTGAGGAGAGGGCGGAGAATGACGGCTGAGTGATTATGACTGAGGACCGCAATCACCATGCTCTGGGCACCTTCGTCACATCTCCCTCTCCCAGGCGTCCCCTGTTCCCTGCTCTCCTTCTCCCTGGCGGCGGCAGAGCCATTCGATGGCGGGCAGGCGACTGCTGGTTAGGTTCAGGCAAAAGTCACCATCACTGGCGTTTAGGCTGGTTCTCTTTGCTCTGTTCCCCTCCCCTGTTGTCCATTTTCCCCAGACATAGATTAATCACAAGTTAATAGGAGCCGAAAGCTCAACAATAGCGGAATGTTTTCGGGGCGGATTTTTCTGCCTTTCTTTTGGCTGCTCTGAGATTTCTATCAATGCTGCATCTGTTGGCTAAATCAAATCTTTCAAAGGTAACACATGATCATGGCTGCTGGGATTCGTCTATGACAATCCAGTTGTGGAGGGGACACGGAAGATGCCTGACACACAGGCACTGTCTTTCTCAAGGTTATTCCTTTATGAAGGGGATGACTTCTTTGTGTGTGCTACAAAGTGTCTGTAAAGGGAATAAAGTGTGGGGAATCTCACCAGCCACTTCCTTCCTTCCCAGGGCAGTGGATTCGACCTCTTTGAAGCCGCAGGGGCACAGAGCAGAGAGAGGCTGAGGCTAAGAGGGCTGGGCTTTCTTTGGTTGGGGGTTGGGAGTACTTTGTCTCCCTAGGAAAGATGCTACAAGCCTCTGTTGCAAGCTCTTGCAGAAGTCAGGGGGGAAATGTAGCTAGGCTTCTGGGGATCCCACACTCCATTTCTTGGGGAGTTGAATGGATGCTTCCTTCAAAGGCCATAACAGAACTTCTACCCCCACTGAGCTGATGAAAGATGATGGACAGATTGGGAAACTGAGACAAAGAGAGAAGTGCATATTTGAGACTACAGAGGTAGTTCTGAGGGCAGGACTCAGGGCGCCAGACCCCACCCAGAACCTGCAGCTTAACTGCCTTGAGATTAGGAGTCTTAGAGTTGTCTCTCTGCTTTTCTTGGATCCCAAGAGAAAGCTCTGTAGCAGACAAAAGCTCATGGGAAGAGAGGAGTGACCTGTGTCCACAGAGAGGGAGAGAGCTGCTCTTTGTGTCCATGAGAAGAAAGCGAAGTGCAGCTCGAGAGAGAGACCAGAGTGAGACCAGAGGCTCCCCACCTCGGGCAGTTTGCCCCCCCGCCCAGGAAACATTTTTGTTTGTCAGAACTTGGAGTAGGGTGCTGCTACTGGCATCTGGCACGTAGATGGGAGGCCAGGGATACTGCTGAACATCCTCCAAAGCACAGGACGGACCCTCACAATGAAGAATTATCCAGCCCCAAATGTCAACAGTGGCGAGGTTGAGAAACTCTGAGTTAGACTGAAGGAAAACTTCGTATGAATGTTGGGGTCTCAGTCAGTGGGGCAGTGTGCCAAGAGAAAGGGATGAAATATTTAAAAAGAAATAGGGTAGCTATCAGCTCAGGGGCAGAACCACCTAGAGGAATGGGCTATCTAAGATGAGTTGAGTGATTGTTTTTACTAAAGGGCTGCTCTGTGCCGGGTGCCATGCAATGCTGAGGCTGCAGACATGGTAAAGCCAGGCTCCTCCTGCCTCATGGAGCCGGGGCTGTGACGCAGCTCCCTGCCAGGAGGCGGACGCAGACACTGAGGAGCCCCCCTCCTAAGAAGCGCTACTGCCTCCCAATCCCTGAAACACGACTCGCGTTAAAGACGGTAAAGCAAATAATCATCAATATTGGATGGGCTGAGATTAGCGACGGAGAAGAGGGAGTCCTTCCAGATTAATAATGCATCGAGGACTCCTTCTGAGGAAGGATAAATTATGCAGGGCATGCTGCTCGGCACGGGAGGAAAACAATAGCTCTTTAATTCGGGGCTGGTTAGATCTCAGGGGCAGGGACTCTCTCTGCTTTGGGCCTCAATGGCGGCCTCACTTCCTGTCCCTGAGAAGGTCCTCCCTTGGCTTCCCAGCACAGGTGGGGATTCCTGGTGCTGTCCCCCACCATGGAACCATCTGAGGCAGCTGCCTAGTCCCCTGGCCAGCCATGTGGGACACTTGTGTTTAGAGCCTTAGAGCTCTCAACCTGCCCTCCAGACCCAGCTCAGATGTCAGCTCCTCCAGGAAGCCTTCCCTGACCAGCATAGCAGTCTCCTACGGTGTTTTCTGCACACAACCCTGGGTCACTGTTACTTGGGCACACGTTGGGACCCAGCAGGGCCAGCTGTATATATTTCAATGATTCTAAGATGCACTTTCCCCCACATTTTCACACCGCTGATATAAACTGTCGGTGGCACAGCATGGTTCCATTGACAGTGTTTTCTTTGTGAGAGTACATAAAATAAAGTTTTGCCTCACTACCAATGTTGTCTTGTATTTGAAGAAATACGGTAGAAGGTGCTCAGTGCCTGTGAGCGTTCCAGACCCTAGTTCCTGAGAGCTGGATTGGTGCTGAGGGACCCTTCATTTCCTCCATGAGGTCCAGCCCTGAAGGCACTCGGTGTTTGTTGAATGAACAAACGAGCGAACGAATGCTCAGGTTATATACCAGCCAGCTGCACTGGCTCCAGGGCCCCCTCTTGATAGTCTCCTTTCCAACCCTCCTCCCTTGCAGACAGTACGACCCCCCGCCGCTCAGCTCCAGGCACTGAGGACCAAGGACCACTTCCGTCTAAGTCATAACACTTGCTAAGACGCCTCTGCTTGCAGTGACCAAGTGATTTTGTGGAGAATCAAAAGCTGGAAATGAAGAGGGGCCGAGACCAAATCCGAGTTGTCCCAGCGACAGGGCTGCAAACAGAGGCGTCTCTGTCTAGCCTACAGCCAGCAGCAGCACCACGCCCCCCGGGCCCGAGGGGAGAAGGGAGACTCCCTCACAGATAAGAGGCAGCCACATACAGGGCTGTGGAGGTGTTTGTCTGGGGCCCACAGCCTCACTGATGACCAGAGGGCGGTGCCAGCTGGTGCAGGAAGCAGGAAGGGAAGGGAGCTGGGAGAGGGGGCCCAGGGAAGCCCGGCTTCTCCACTTCCCAGATTCAGGCTCCTCAGGAAGCAGGTGGGGCCAGCTTCAGCTCCACTGTCCTCAAGCCCCAAAGGACACAGAGTGAAGCGGGAGGCTGGCCTTAAGTTGAGGCCCTGACGAAGGGCCTGCACTTCAACCATCCTGCTCCTCCACCCTAGGCAGGGCCTGCTGGTGCAGGCCCCAGGGTGAGCCATACTGATTTTAAGGTCCCTTCTGTGGCTCAAGCCCCTGCTTCTGCCCTGGTGGTCATGACTCTGGGTCCCTTGGGGTCAGGGAGGGCTTGGTTAGATGCAGAGCATGTGGAGAGGAAATGTTCTCCAGGACAATGCCCCCAGAGCCTGTGGCACTCTGAGCCCATCCACCTCAGCCCCCCGGTCTGTGTGGCCCCACTCCCACCCCAGCTCCCCTGAGGGTCACCAAGCTCCCTCCTTACTCCTGTATTTGTGGTCCCAGACTGGCCCATTTTCAATGCTGGCAGCCCAGTGCAGTGGACAGAGGCAGGTGGCCTAGGTCCTTGTCCTGACTCTGTGTGGCCTTGGTCTTCTCTTCTTTTCATCAAAGTGGTTACCGAAGGTGAGAGCTGATGTCCTAGCTCTTTCTCTGCCCTGCCTGGATGGTCAGGCTGGAGGTGGGGGAGGGGTCTGTGCCTTGAGAAGCCCCCTCTCCACCTATGTCCACCCTACCCCTGTCCCTGGGCTCACCTGTCCCCAGCTCATACCTGATGGTGTTGTCCGCGTCACAGGGGCAGGGCGAGGTGCAGCCCGGGCCGTGCAGGCCCTCGGGGCACAGCCGCTCCTGACAGCGCGGGCCCTTGTAGCCAGGCTCGCACTCGCAGACGCCCGTGGTGGGTGAACACTGGCCCCCGTTGTGGCAGTCACAGCGCTGCGAGCACTGGAAGCCGAAGGTCCCGAAGGGGCATTCCTCTTGGCACCTGTGGGATAGCAGAGCGCAGCTGAGGCTGCGGCTGGGTCCCCTGCCCTGCCCCTCCAGATCCATCCAGCTTGTACCCCCTGCCTCTAGGCCTGGGCCTGGTGTGCTGCACCCGCCTCACGGCCTCCTCCCCTCTTCCCTCTCCTCCTCCAGGAAGTGTGCCATGGTTTAGTCACCCCAGTCAGTTCCACCTTCATGCCAGGTGTCCTCAGTCCCCCAGCAAGGAGTTTGTACCATCATATTTCATTGATTCTAAACCATATTTTTAAATTTTTTGATGGTGGTAAAATATACATAATATGAAATTTACCAATTTAACCATTTTTAACGTACGGGGGCATTAAGTACATTCATATTGTTGAGCAACCATCACCACCATCCATCTCCAGAACCTTTTCATCTTCCCAAACTGAAACTTCCGTACCCACTACACAGTAAATCTTTTCTCCTTAAAATACATTTTAACACATCCGAAATCTGTTAAGTCTTTTAACTGATGGCATGTCACTGATAAAACCTTACCAGTGTTTTTCATTCTTAGCAGTATACAAAATAACAATGCATCTTACAATTGGTGGCATCTTAGATTTAATGAAATGGGGTAATTTCATTGCCACTCATTGTTTCTATTTTTGAGTCTTTTGGGAGATGTACAGCCTCCCGTGTCATATTGGGAGATGTGTCTCCTTCCCCAGTGTGGAATTTCTCCCTGAGTACAGAGGCCTCTTCCTTCACTGGACTGGAGAACCCTCCATGAGTCGGCTATTTCCTCTTCCTTGGACCAGGGGTCCCCTCAAGGGTGGGGCTAAGGCTCTCCCGTCAGCCTCTGGGCCCCTCGAGGAGGAGAACTGGGTCTTTGCCTCCTGCCTCCACCCATGCTGGTGCCTGGAGCTCCCAGCATATTGATGGTTATTAGACCTCATGGACTCGTAGCCCTCGGTTGTGGATCCGGTGTGAGTGGCTGTGACCCCACTTTTGATCACCTGGTTTCCTGGATGTGCCCAGACACCCCTCACCCCAGCTCAGAGCTATGTCTCAGGGGTGCAAATTCATTGTCACAGCAACAGGATCCTGTCAAGTTAAGGGGTAAACTGGGGCCATAAGGGGTAAAGAGGTGGGCGACTCTTGTGTCCCAGAGACAAACGGAAATAATCTCTGGACTTGGGAGTTTTGGATTATCTGTGTCCCAGCACTGCTTCAACAATGTGGAAAATGGAGAACTGATCTTACAGCTCTGACATCCGCTTTCTCATCACAAAATGGGATGAGAAGAATGCAACCTCACCAGGTTGTTTGAGGATTAAATGAAACAATGTGTGTAAATGTTTAGAAAAGTGCCCGGCGCATGGTAAGGGCTCAAGAAGAAATGTTAGTTATTATTATTACTCTTGTCAGTATTGTTTTCTATGGTTCTCATAACAGAGCCCATCCTACCTTCTGCTTCAGATTCTCGCATGAAAAAGCTCAAAGGGAAGAATTCCAAAATACTAACAATGGAGTGAACTTGAAGAATTACAAGTGTTTCAATTGTCATGTTTTCCCATTTTCCCGGTTTTCTATACGCCTTCTACAATAATCTGTCGGGGATGGGGGTGGGGCCATAAAAGATGTTTAAAAACCCACAACCCTAGCTTCTTCATTAAACCTCAGACAGTCTGGAGTTGGAACCAGTGTTCTTCTCCACAACAGGGTGGGGAGACCCATGTCTGGGTGCCTTCAGTTGCCCATGATGAGGGTGAGTGGCCAGACCCCAGTGATGTGGTAGGGCCAGCCTGTGAGCGCCTGGGGGTGAGGGCAGCTGTGTGTCAGGCATGAGCCTCGATGACTCTCCACTGGGGGGTCTCTTTCTCTCCTCTCTCTCTTTGTTGCCTTGCGCCCACAATGACAGGGAGAGGAGGAGGGTGACTGGGGGCTAGCCTTGCTGACTCCCTCACAGGAAATGCCACTCACTCTCCCCTCTCACAGCCACGGTGGCAAAAGGAGGAATCTGGTAGAATGCAAGAGCACTCGTGGCTACAGCCCCAGGCACCCATGGAGAGGGGCTCAGGCCCCAAACCCTGTCCCCAGGCCCTGAAGCAGCAGATGGCTCATCACCCTGACTCTGGAGTTGAGGAGGCTGAGATGCAGACAGGTGAGGTGACTGTACGAGCTCACGCAGCCTGCAAGTGGCCCGGATGACCCCAGATCATCTTGCTGCATTTTAGCCAGTCTGAGGCCTCATGAAAAGAAGGAGAACTGAAAACAGCGGGAGGGAAAGGAAAGAAAGGCGGGGATGAAGAAGGAATGGCCAGTGGAAGACAGGAACGAGGAGGGGAAGTAGGATGGGGGAGGTAAGGAGGCAGACTGAGGCAGAAGGGGAGGACACAGAGCGAGGAAGAGCTGGAAAATCACCGTCTGAACTGCCAGTGCCTGCTCAGCCTCAGTATGGGTCCCCCCAGAAGTCACTCAGTTTGGCTCTCCTTGGATGTTCAGATGTCAGGGGAAGAAACTCAAGCCAGGAGACACCTGGCGGCTCCTCCCTTTCCCTGGAACATTCCTGCTGGGCGCCATCCAGCAGGACCAGGCAGAGCCCTGGACAGCCAGCTCCTACCAAAGGGCTCTTCCCCATGCCGCCATATTTATGAAGCAACTGACTGTAGCCCCAGAAACAGAATCTGGAAATGAAATATTGACAACCTAATCCATTTACATAATCAGCCTCTTTTTTTTTTCCTACTCACAATTTAAACAACTTATTTATTTAGAGATCAAGCAACGACTGCTAATGAATTTTACACAAAGCACGCTAATAACGGGGCCCGTGGAACAGAAGGGTAATCACAGCAGGAATTAGTTTTCTACTTAAACATCCTTCCTTTGCAACATATCAATCTAATGTGTCCGATATTGCCATTAACAACCAGATACATTGCTCAATTAAATTACAAAATGAGCTGCAAAGCCCTCGTTACATTTCGTGTTTAATTTGCACTGGATTCTGCCTATCCGGGGAGGCCTGCGTTATTACACCCACTCAACTTTAATATGCTCGCCATGATTTGGGGTGGGTTAATGTAGCTGTCACCTACAAAATTAATGGAGGCAATTTTACAAAATATTAAACACCAGGCGGCCCATTTGTTGGGAAACCCAAATGCTACCCGGCCCTTCTATTGAACTCTCCTCTGTATTTAATTGGCACAGCTTGCTAGAGGACCCTCAGGCTTTTGGGATTTCTCTCTGCCCCAGGATCGTGGGCTGGGCCCCAACAAGAAGAAGGATTAGGATTACTTCTCCATTTGGTATATCTTGGCAGTGAAAATCAAGAGTGCCAATGAGGTAGGGTCTACTGGCGTTGAGTCCAGCCAGTTGGAGACCTGGGCCTGCTCGTCTCCAACAACAAGGGGGCTGTACGCCCTCTCACGTGAAAGTGGACTGAAACAAAGGGGTCCTGTTCTGGTTCTGGGGTCTTCTGGCTCCTGTCCCTGTGGCTCATCCTGAGCTTTCCTTTTTGAGGGAGATGGTGAGGGTGGGAAGGTGGATTCACTGCTTGAGTCTTTCCACCCCTGCTCCCCTGAGGGACCCAGTCTCTGACAGAGGCCAGGGAGGGTGGATCCCCAGATGCCACACCCCATATTCTGTGCCTGGGAAACTCATGGAGATGAACACTGGCTCACACAGAGATCAGATCTGGCTGAAAAGACTTCCAGCTAGGGGTAAGCAAGCCCAAGGAAAAAAGTGGGAAATCTCTTTTCTGGACATCACCAAGGATTTGGGGCTGACTCCAGTGAGATCTGGAGGAGCCCAGTTATGTGGGTCAGAGCCAGAAGGATTCGCTGGTTGATTCAGCCCAATCCCTGCTCCCTGATGTTACCTGGGCAGGGAAGGTAGAGGGACGGCGAATAAATATTCCTCTCCCTCACCTTCTGAGCACAGTAACAAAATCCAGAGCCAGAGATGAGACATGGATCCCACAGAACCAGGCAAGGGGCATGAGAGCCCCCTCTTTACTGCCCCTCTCTCTGCTCCAGGAGACACCTAGGGTCAACAGTGAGAGGGAGGAGACTTGGCCTGGTCCTGTGGGCAAATGTCCTCTTCCAGCCGGAACTCACTCACCATCAGACACCCTGGTTATTGCTTCTCCCTCTTCCTACCCGATCATCATGGCATCCTTCTTCCTGCTGTGGCAAATGTGCACGTACAGTAATTCCCCAGTTAGGTGTTCTGTGGATTATCCACTCTGCAAGGCTGGCTTGATTCCAGGACATTGGTGCCCTTGTTCAGTCTGCTCTCAGCCATAGGGCTTCAGAGGACGCAAACTAATGGCAGCACTCATATTAGGAATAAAAATCCACACTAGAAGAAATCATGCAGAATGTGTGACCTGAGGTTACACTCTCAGCTTCATTAGACTGTCAGTGCCGCTGCCTCCCTCTGGGAAGGCAGAAACCAGACAGTGGGTTTTAGGGGCTCGCCTCCTTCCGCAGGTGACTGAATGCAAGTTCAGGGCGTGGGGCACTGGGCTGGATGAGGGGATGAATTGCCCTGGCAGGAGGACTCAGAATGCTTTCTGCAAAAGGAACGGGAGAACTGGCAGAAGAATGCTTGGGCTGGTAAACCTCAGCTCATCTCTGCAAGGCTGCTGGGAAAAATGAGCGACATGAACAGTAACGGCAATAGTCAACACCATCCTTACCTGTCCCCCATGTATCCGGCTGTGCAGTGGCACTGCCCAGTCACATGGTCACACTGCCCTCCGTGGTGGCAAGGACAGTCCTGGCT